AAAACATTTCTTTGTATACAATCACATATCTATTATATACTTAGTTCTAACTCCTTTCAATGCACAGAGCTCTTACCTTATTCTTTATTGCAATTGCAGTAAATATATCCCATCACTGGGTGCGCTATAAAAAAAGCTTCCACTGAGGGACACTTGTTTCCAGTTTTTAGTTTTTATAATGACAATGAAGGTCTTTATTCATTTATCTTAGTAAACGACAGTTATCAGCATATAGGTCATCTATAAAGCTATGATCCTGGATAAGATTACCCTGAAAGTACAGGTAGAGGAGAAAATGGGTCCCAAGATAAGCTTTGGGTGCTCCACTGTTTAGAAGTCAAGAGATGAGGAGACATCAGCAAGGGAGACTAGAAGACAAAGCAAAGGAGACAAGAGTAGAACCAAGAGAGTGTGCAGCCCCGAAGGCCAAGGGATAAAACTGATTTAAGGACGAGCAAGTGACCCACTGTGCTAAATGCTGAGAAGTCATGATGAGGACAGTGGTGTCTTAAAGCAAATCTGATCATGTCATTCTTCCTCAAAAAATCCTATCAATGGCTTCCCAATACACTGTGAATAAAAATCTCTCCCCCAAGTCCTCATCCACACGCTCTTACATACACCTAGAGGACATCAATAAACCCGAGATGACCTGACTCTTGTGTCCTCCCCAGCATCAGCTGCATCTCTGCTCCTTCTATTCTCTAATCCTGGACACCTTTTCAGTTCTCAGATGGGCTCCAACGGTCCACAGCAGAGAGAGACAAACTTCAATGTGCGTACAGATCATCTGTATCTCTAACGAGCTCCCAGGTGATGGTGATGCTGCTACACTTCTGAGTAGTAGAACTAAAAAAACTCTTTCCTCTCTTCCCAGCTATCTTCTATTCATCCCTCAGACTTCAATTTAAGTATCATTTCCTCAGACTTCCTCAGATATATGTTTCCATACACACTGCACATCTGCATACTAATTGTCACGCTCACAATAATGAATTCGTCACCTTCCTTCTCTGCTAGTCTTCAAATTCCCTGAGGGCAGGGATTAGGCTTCTCCTGTTTGCCGATGCTTTCCTAGTGCCTAACTCTATGTCTGCCACACAGTAGGTACACAAAAAATATTTGCTGGTCAATTTAAGTGATTATTCAGATCTGTATCTCCTGACAGAGAGAGATAATTACAATATAGTAAGTTTTAAAAATCAGGTTACAAAACGTTATTTACATAGCTTTATCTTAGTTTTGTTCCATATGATTTACCTGCATACAGAAAAGTCCAGAATCATATATTTAAAACAGTATTATTTCTCAATGGCAAGATTTTCAGTAATTGTTTTCTTTTTTGCATTTCCTTGCTTATTTGTACATATCTGCTAAAATACTATATTTTTATTATTATTTTGTAGCAAAATAATAAATTACATTAAACACTGAATTCTCACATTTAACCTTTGCTTTTCTAATTGTTGCTGTTGTAGTCACTTCTGTGTTAATGTACAAAACAGTCGGTCCACATTTTTCTAAAATGTGACTAGGAATTTCCCTTGTCGTCTGAGGCTAAGTTGAAGGCTAAATCTGGGATCTACAATCCAAGCAGTGCCCACCACCAGGAAACTGGCTACGGGGGGGCCTGACTGGAGCCGGTCAGCCAGCGCTTGTTAGGACAGCATTTTTGCCACCAACTCTCTCTTTATTGACAGTGGATCAACAAAATGCACAAGCAATTTTACACAGAAAAATCAGTGACACAGAACGTAAGTCCATAAACAGACACAGTAACACACTGGAATTTAAGGTATGAAAAGCTGGCATTTCAAATTCATGAGAAAAAGAGGATTTATTGAATAAACAAAGTTGTGCAACTGCCCAGTCATTTGGGAAAGAAATGATAATGCTTCTTAAACTTATCAAAGTAAACAAAGACATGTGAAAGATTCAATTTTTTAAGAGAAAGCCATAAAATTACTCAAAAAAAATGAAAGAATATATTTAAATTTAAATATAGGAAAGCCCTTTCTAAGAATAACACCAAGACTAGAATACATAAAGGAAACTATTGGTAGTTTTTACTACTTCTGTATTAGCAGAATACACCATAAACGAAACTGAAAAGCAAACAATAAAGTAAAAAAAAAGTCTACATTATATATGACAGATAAAAAAGAACACCTACAAATCAATAAGAAAAAGATGAATGATAACTCAACAGAATATTAATTGGTAATTCTCAAGAGGAAAATAACCAAGAGACACCTAAAAATATGCTCCACCTCACTTGAAATGAATAAAAACATAAGTTTAAAAGATTGAAAGGAAATGAACAATGTCATAAATTGTTGGTAGGCATACAAGTTGGTATAATTTTTCTAGAGAGAAGTCTAGCAATATACATCAAAAATTTTAAAGCAAAAAGTTTAGTAAGTAATGGCACACCTAGGAACTTTCTTACACTGCAGCTGTGTTAAGTTAGTGAATATTATGAAAATAATTTAAACGTTCACACATAATTTTGAGGGAAAAATATCAATCTATAGAATGCCATATATGGTTTAAACACATGTATGCATACACAAGAGATGTTCAGAAGGCTATTCACCAAACTGCTAACATGGATCTGTATTTAAACAGTTTTAATAATTTCCCTAATTTTAAAACCCAAAATCTAAAATTTCATGTTAAGAATTCTAATGCTTAGATATCTATAAACTTCTCCTTACAATACAGAAATTTTAAAAGTAAAAATATGATCAATATGGAATGTTTTTTAGTTCTCACCAAAATTACTATTTAGCAAAATAAACGTTAAGTTTGAACAGTACATTGCTAATTTAAATAAACGTATGTACCCATGCTATTCAATTGAAATATCCTTGGTATTTCCCACAAATAACAATTACTATATGCAAAATTAAGAAAGCGTTAATACTATATAACCACAAGTATTATGCTTTGTAGTTAACTGTTCATTGCACAGAAAAACCAAAAAGCCACCAAGTAAAAGGGTATTCATTTTGTGTTCACTATTATCTTTCTTGAGAAAGCTTATTAGTGCAGAAAAAATTATACATTTCTCTGAACTTGTAGGCTCAGCAGACAGATATATTTTGAAAAGGTTAAGCTATGTTTAGCAAGGTAATCCTCAAGAGATGGATGCCAGAGAATTAAATATTCAGTACTTAAATTAACTTCTTATTTGGTACTTAGGAACAAATTGCCAAGAATTATCATCATCAAATAGAACATTTATTGACTCTCTTGGAAAAAGAAAGTGAGATCTACTTGAAGAAAAAAAATTTAGAATTGGAAAGAAACCAGTATTTTTAACACTTCACTTGAATAATAGAAGCTGTAAGTCCTCAAAAGGTTGCTTGGCTGGCAGAGTGCTAATGGAAATGATTCAAAATAGTTTCTTGACTACCAGATTATGTTTACATCTTTATTTTCTCCACTCTCAGCTTTAGGCTTAAAGACATCCCAAAGAAGTCATACAGATCTTCTATTTCCTATCAGAGATACTAGAGCAATTTTGAAACTTCCGAAATTCTTCACATACAACTTTATTCATAAAATAATGAATAATACATTAATCCTTTAAAAAATCTTTCTGCGTAAATAGAAAATGAACATGAAAATGACCTTCTTTTAGGGACTGAAAATGAAAAGCATTGTGATTACTAAACACAGGGAAACCAGATGACTATAAACCTTAGAAGAACGCAATAAAATGTTACACTTTTTACTGAAAGTAAAGTTGGAGGACATGGGAACAGAACATAGCATGAAAAGTGGGGATAAGTTATTAATTTGTTGATAGTGTAGTTAAAAGTGACCTTTCAAAATATTATTCTCACATATTTAGAAAAGTTAAAATATAACACTAAAAACACATCTACTTAAATTTAAGTTAATATTTAATATTTTATTAATGTTAAAATACGTTGTAGATGATTTTTCAGGATTCCTACCGGCTGTCCTGAAAGGCAAGCGAGTTTAGAATATGCTTTCTCCATGTGCAGGTGGTATCGCCCCTATGGGAGTGAAAATTGGTGGCTGGCAGGGAGTAGAGGGAGTGACAAGAGCTCTGTCTTTTTATGTGTAAGGCACAAATATACATACAGTACCAGAAACAGATATACAGTATATCTAGGGTATTACAATTTAATGGGGATGGAAACTGGGGAGGGGGAGTCTAAAAAAGCCTTTTTAAAGGGTGATAATGAAAAAACATATGAGAAAATCTATGCTAAACAAATCTGGATTCTAATCACTATCTAAAGGTAAGAACTTGGGCAAGTAACCTGATATTATAAAGTCTAAGTTTCCTCATGAATAAAATGGAAATTATGGCTTCTCTTAACAGCTAACAATTTTAACAGGGAAGATGTGAAGAGCACAGCACAGTGCAATGAACATAGTTTCTGTTAAGTAAATGTTAGCCCCCTTCATTTTTCTCCTCTCACTTCAGGATGTTATAAATTTTATACTCTCTGCAAAAGAATACTCAGGTTCCAAAGGAGAGCGAGACAAGGCAACATGGAAAAAACACCACAGGAAATGACTTTTGTACATGATCCCCAGATCAAGTATGCCCAATGATGGTGAAATCTGAAAACTGGTTTCAGCTCCCAAATCTGTGCTGTTCTTGGCTATACAAGCTTGGCAAAGTTGCTTGATTTTTATGAGCTTCAGTTTCCATACCTGTACTCCAAAGGGCTGTTAAGAAGAACAGATGAGATCATGTATGTCACATTCTTTGGGAACGATAAACCACTAAACTAAAGTTACCTTACAATAGGGCATGGTTCATGTCAATAATGGCAGGAAATGAAGACGCTGACACTGAAGACTGTGTACGTCCTGGGAAGGGATGGGGAGGACAAAAACTGCTCCTCCCTAGTGCCCAAGAACAGAAGCAAGTCTTCACAATCAAAGCCTCACAGGCAGACATTTGTTGACAGTTTAAATTTAGTTTAAAACAAAATTACTAGTGGAACCCTTACCTAACTCTTTGCTCTTCATCTGTATAGTGACCATCAAAGAAAGAGGTCCCAAATACTCTAATTACGGTGTTGTGGCCTTTCTTGTCGGCTGTATGATACACGCGAGAAGCCACCTGCAAGTCAATGGGGAGCTCCTGGGCGGGGACCGTGGCACACAGATCATGAAGGGTTGGAGTGGAGTAGTCTTGTGGAATTCTGCAGCAGAGATAAGAAAGCGGGCTTCTTTTAATAATTCTGTACTCTCGTTCTTTAGACATAAAATACATTTAAAATTGACAGTTTAGTTCAGGCCCTAAAAAGGATGCCTAATGTAGGAGATCACATTTAAAACTATAACAGTAATTTATAGCAAATTTAATATTACAATCTCAGGTGATTGATCAGATCTTCAGTCATATATCCAATTGCCTGCTAAAGATCTCAACCTGTATGTCTTACAGATACCTCAGAATCAACAGGTCCAAAAGTAAACTCATTATCCTCCCACCCCACCCAAATCTCTTCTCGCTCGAATTTTCTAAGTCAGTCAGTGACAACATAACTAGCCATCATACAGTCCTCCTTTGCTACTCAGCTCAAATGCTAATGTCAGGACACTATCCATTAACTAGCATCAATGGAAACCTGACTCTCTCTAAGTTAACATGGCATTTTCCTTCCCACCAGGCTAGAATTTGCCTCCCTCCTGCCTTTCCAAAGTGGAGAAGAGGGCATAAGATCTGCTTTCTTACTCCCCAGGGTCACATGCCATCCAATCCAATCCACAAATGCTTTTTGAGAACATACTATGTACCAGATTTTGTGCTAGGCAATCTACACACATTGTCTCTAACTTTCACAATGACACTATATGGGAGGTAGTAGTATCCTTATTTTTGAGCAGGCTTATTTTGGATAGGTCGCAAAATTAGTGAGTGTCTATTAGGATCTAAACACAGTACTGCTAAGTATATGTCAGATTTGTTTCCAATAATGCCTATTAATGACCCCTGAGTAGTGCTCCATCTCCACCTCCCTACTAAAGTTATACTTCTACATTAACCAAATGACGACCTTCTCTTCAAATGAAATCAAAGGAATTCTAGATTGTGCAAATGAAATGAACATGAGCTTTTTAGTTTGTTGTCTCTATGACCTCTACGCCACAACTGGCAATACTGATGACCCTTCTTGAAATTGCTCTTCCTCCATGAGCTTTTTTTAAGCCTGCACTATCCCAGCTTTCCATCCAGCTTTCAAATTCATCATAATTTGACTTAGTCATTGGTTTTTCTTTTGCCATCTTCTGAACTGGGTATGGCTTCCAAGATCAAACTACTCTTTCTACACTGGAATTGTCATCTTCGGTGTTCCAGCAACTTCCTCTGTGCTGAGAGCTCCCAAATCCTACTTCTGGTATCCCTATCTCACCTACATTCCTCATTGTCAAAGTACAAAACACTAGAGCCATCTCTGTCTCCTCTGCCCTTCATCAGCTTATCTGATGAACAACTGAGTTTCTCCCTTGCACAGAGTTGCTCCTTCTCCCTCCTCACTTCCACCACGCTCCAGTCCACGTCCTCATCACTTCAGCCTGCATCAGTGAAGGTCTGCCAGTTGGACTGAGCACTGCACCCTCTGTCTCTTCCCCCTTCCATACCTTCTGCAAAAACCTATCACATAGATCTTTAAATATTCTTCTACCCTGCACAATGGCTCTTTGTTGCTTGCGGCTTTCATTCGACTTTCTCTCCCTAAGTTTCAAGCCTCGTAGCATCGGGCCCCACTTCTAGCATAGTGGTTAAGAATGTAGACTCTGCAGTCAAACTATCTCTGATCAAATCCTGTTTAAAATTCTCACTTGGCCATAAGCAAGTCAATTAATTTCTTTAAAATCAGCTAAGTTGGGAACAACAATATTAGTGCATCCTGGGTAAAGCTGCTTTGAGAAAGAAAGGAGTGCATTTAAAACAGTATCTCTTTTATTTTCAGTCTACTGGACAATTCACAGGGCCAGCAAGACCTCTCAGTTCTTTCAGTTATGCATATCCTTTAGTCTGTGCCTAAGCATTCTGCAAACAATACCTCAAGGACAAGCCTCTCTACAAACTCTTCTTTTCTTTCCTACAAATATCTCTTTTCACACAGTATCCTATTCTTGTCCACTCATTCCCACCCTTTGTCTAATGGGTTAGGTGGGTCCATCCACTGACTGCTCCACATGCTGGTCAGCAGCACAGTATCAATCCTCGTTCTGACACTTGCAAACGGTATTACTGGCCTCTCTGAAGGTCTTCTATAAAATGAGAATAGAAATTCTTAACTCCTGCTTTGTAAAAATTGGTAACAACAACAGTTGCTGATCTCTGAAGCTCTTAAGAAACGGCTGCTTACTTTTATTGCTGTTGTTACTTATTTGCACTACACAGGACCTAACCCACTGCTAGGCACCATGTGTACATTATTCAATCACTAATAATCAGAGTGGTTTATGTCATTTCCAAAACAGCACAGGGCCCAACAAAAACAGGACATGAAATCTGCACATGTTTGAGTTGGGGAGGAAAAGAGAGGTAAATCTAAAGCATTTGGAAATGCCTGAGACAGAGACAAAGCTCGGGCAGTGAAAATGGGTCTCCAGGAGCCCAAGGATCCCAGGCACTCAGGGCTCCTAAGAAAGGACCGGAAAAAAAGAGGAGAGAAAAAGGTGAGTTCTGATGTCAAGCTCACCTACATTTTCACTCTGTCTGGGACAGGTCCTGGCTAGTGGCATGTTCTTGAGATTACACTACAGATTTTTTTTCCTTAAAAAAGCATCAGAACCCATCTGAATTCCTGTGTCCCTGTGACACTCTGTAGTAGAGACCTGCTCTCCCTTGGCTGTTGAGCTTTAGCTTGTTAGCTATTCAGTTATTTATAACACTACGTTTTCAAGAGATGGCTGAATTCCCAAGAAAACAATTTAATGCGGAGGCTAGTCACTGGTGAGAAAAGTGAGGGGAAAAAACTGAGTAGGGAAGAAGGAGCAGTGAATGAAAGATTTTCTAAAACTCTCCTTTGTTATATAAACTTCTTAAATACCAGATTTTTATTCCTCTGCATCTCATTCTTATTTCTTTGCAATGGAGATTTCTAATTTTCAGTTTTAATGAATTAACACAGTACTATATATATCAAAAAGATCTACAAATATTTTTGGCATGCTCAAGAAAGGCTGTGTGTTTTTATAGCACACTCTCCTTAAACAGGACTATTTGTCATTCTTTGAAACACTAAGACATAAAAAAGAAAAGACTCTGACTCTGTGTGTGGCCACACTACTTTGCCTAATGCACTAAATGCAAGGTTTTTCAGGAAAAAAAAATCAAGACGTTTCTGCTTCATTGATAATCTGACAGTAACTATTTATTGAAGGTAAAATACTTGTTGTCTGCTGTCACTATTTGTTTTAATACATAATCTTGCTAACTAAATGAGCTTAAAGCAATGCAGATAAGCAACGGCATGTACAGGGTCACTTAAATGCCAATTTGACTCTTTCATAAACTTTGGAATTCTTTTCCCATGAGTGTACTCTCAGCTACTAAATTGTGAGTAATATCCATTTACAAAGTTTAGGCTGGCCATAAAAAGCTTGTCTCCCATGTCCTGCACACCTTTCAGTGGCTGAAGCAACAACAAAAGCTAGTAATTAAAGCTTCTCTAAGCCCCCATAAAAAGTTAAATGAAGAAGAGTCTAGAATAAACCAACCCATAAAAACCTAGAGGAGAAATGAAGAGAAAATCAGTTTCAACAAGGTAAATGGCAAAAGATAAACCATAAACCTAAATTGCATTTACACACTATTATTCGAAATTGTGGTTGCACCCTTATGCAATAAGAAACCCTACTGAAAATACGCGGTGTAGGAGGAGGCAGGAATGAAACAGGAAATGATAGCAGAGGAAAATAAGGCCACCTAAATTCCCAAATCGATTGGACTGTGGATGCTTTGTGTTCGGCTGTCTTCTATTTTATCACAACAAGATTAACCAATATAATGAGCAGTTCATCCAAATTAGGAATTATAGTGACCAACAATATCAAATCTGACATGCTAACATTTAATTTTCTTTTGTCTCACAAAGAGCCATTTTTACTCTAGCTATCGTTATGACATTAAAATAAGTCCACTGGCTAAAAAAAAAAAAAGTGTGGAGTACAACATACATATCCTAACTGTGCTATCTGCCACCAACTCCTCCTGTGAGAAGGTTTAACTTGGATCTCCTATATGAATTTCTAAAACACTCAGTTTTCCTTTAAAAACACACTTTCAGGTATCAATGCTACTGAATAACTTCTCTTCAGACAGTAAAATTTATAAAGTTAAGAAAGTTACTTTTTTTTAGGCAGTTTTTGATCATACAGGGGTTTTGAAACGTTGCTTTGCCTCTCTTGTGGAATTCTTAATTTACTTTTTCGCTTTTGCGTAACTTCTTTTCCTTTGATTTGCAACAATTCTGATGATTTCACCTTAAAAAAAAAAATAAGGTGTGCTGTTGAGGAAAGTTGTAACTGAGAGTAGGATCTTTCTCTCATGGTCCATGTTATATTTAAACTCCTAATTTCTATGTATATTTTATAACAAAATATAAATCCCAAAGGTGGAGTTGGTATTTTCCTCCAAATTCATTCCTAAATTTTTACATATACACTTACATAGCAAAAAATATTAGTACCATATTTATTTATAATATTCTATATACTGCCTTAAAACTATTAAAGAAGAAATGTAAGATCTTTTTTCCTCCGTAGATCTCCTCTTTTTGATTGGTGCTTTTAACAGAACTCACCTTTAGCCAGTTAAAAGTCTGGTGGTTGCAAGCACAAGCCAAAATGAACTTGCATGCTTAATATAACTATTTTGAGCAATGCTTACCTATTTATATTTCTTACTGTTATACTGTTTTCTGTTTTCCTCTTGGGAAAAATCAAATGCATTTCTGTTTCTAAATAATAGCCTTTTAATCATTACAGATATTAGGAGTATTGCTTTCCTAGATTTTTTAGGAAATGTGCAGAATTCATGGCAATAGTTCATCTAAAGATACTTCTCTCTGTGGGTTGCTCTGTACTTTTTTTTGAGACTAGATTTAAGAAAGAAAGAAGAGAGGTTTTCCTGGGGGAAAGCAGAGGGATACGACAGTAAGTAGAGGGAGACCAGATAAAGAGAGGTTTTTATAAACTAGGTAGAGGTTTTGGGCTCCATGTAGCAGTAAGGAGAGGGCTATTGCAGTGTCCTGGGTAAGGAAGTGGTGATGAATAAGGAAAGTTCAGAGTACAGGGCATTCCATCTCACCATCCAGTTCACGTACGAATTTCCTCTATAGTATCTCCACCACAGGCCATCCATCCCTGACTTGAACACAATCAGAAACAGAGGACTTAGATACATGCAAAGGTAACCAGTCTCTCTCTGAAACCCTTCCAGGTGTTAGAATTTATGTTTATTATTGAGCCTAACAACTTTCATCTATCAGTCTCAATTCAAACCTCAGGACTGTACAGGCACAATCTGGCTCTCCTACATCTGACAGACAAATATTTGAATACAGTTGAGTCCCCTGGGCCTGCTTTTCCCCCAGATAAGCACCCCGAGTCCCTCCAACTCTGCCTTACCGACATGGTTTTGAAATACTCTGCTTTGTCATCCTAAGTGCTCTCTTCCAAACTGTCTCCAATT